ATGTATATGTATAATAATAATAGTAGTAATAATAATATTTTTTTATGATTATCTTAATAAATTGTATGTATGATTATATCACAAGAAAGATTCAAATGCTCTGTACAACGTTTCGAGTCGCCGAGCGTCAGATGCTCCTGCAACGTACCGTCTCGTTATTTTCGGTTTGTAAATTTTACTCATTTATTTTTTCCCACCCATTCATTCGCCAAACTCACATATATGTTTCTCGTTTATTCGTACAACGCAAGATATGTTCTTTTGATATTGTACTCTCCTTATGCTGAATCATACGTACGAGCGCATCGAAATATTATATACATTTACATACACTTGTTGCATTTTATTATTTCCTATGCTTTTTCGGAACTCGAGCTAAGCGAAGCGTTCGTATCCGTAGTTTTACACTGTGCTTAAATTTTATTTGAGGAGCCAGACATGGGTGCAATGGGTTGATAAACTTTTAAATGCCGCAAAAAAATTGTTTTCTAATATGTAACGCACTGTTATTGCTTAAAAATGTTTTCTTTATGACTATTTAATAAACGCAGTACTTTATAAATATTTTTCCAGCAAACAATAGTGCGATATATTTTCAGAAACAAAATGATTCATTAAAAAGCATTTGGCTACTTTTAAAAATACTATTGAAAGTTCTGTGTAAAAAGTAAGAAAAATTTTTTAGTACAAAAAATGCATTATATTTTTTGAAAAAAAGTTGGAATGATGCCTTGAAAGAAAAATATACAATTTACTATTCTAGAATGGTAAACTGGCACTATTCCGCCGTTTAGGGACTTTTTCTTTTGGCAAACCAAACTTTACCAAGCTGGACAGTAATTTCTAATGTGCAAATGTTAAATCATTAAAATTACTGTAGATGATGGTAAAAAAAAACTTTAAGTACAAGTTAACCGTTATATTAGTACAGTAATTTTTATAGCTTTTTCTCTCAGTATGCAACAATTGGAAAAAAATAATTATGTCTGAATTTGTACATGTAGTGGAAAAATCGAGCGTAAACATTCAATCTGTTGTGAATCTTAACACTCTTTTATTGCGGCGTAGTACTTAAACCACGAGAAACTCCCGGTGAGAGATGATTCGCAAGAGTGAATCCAACATTAGTTCGAGTGAATAAACGTATTGCAGTGCGAGTGCCCAGCGCCGCTAAACTCCCGGGAGACAATTCGATTCTTTTCTCGCTTGTCTATCCTTACTTTTTATGCGACAATATCAAGTGGGCTTTTTGCCTTCTTTTTCGAGCTACACTCGCCTTGTGATATACGCTCAGCGCTAGTGATTGGCACATTTCAAAGTTAATGGCAAGTTTTATTTTATTTAACTGTTGCATTGGCACGATAATTGAAAGATTATTTGGTACTCGTGTGTTTTTTCTTTCCTCCTTTTTTCCAATTGGTCGTGAGAATAAAGAAATATCACGTGTACCGAGGAGGGAAATTTCATGCACTCTCTTTTGGCCACAAAAATAAAGAATTCACACGGTTTGCTTTATCATGTTATTTTTATTATTATTTTCTATTTTTCAAGAGAAGAGCACGAGGATTGTCTTTGAAATCGGAGTGATTTTTAGTTTATCCAGTTTTTCAATTCAAGTAACAAAATATTGGAATGTTTTATCTCATAATTTTATTCACATAAATGTATATATCCGCATCTCATACGTTCCATAAAATCTTAAAATACCTTGTAATGCACTCGAAAATAATATTATATCCCTAACGTAACAGATTCAATCTCAAATAATCGTAATTACAAATCGCACAGTATACAGGTGTGATGATAATTTTTCTATAATTTATTTCTTTAACGATAAATAATAATAATAATAATAATAATATTTTATTTTTCAATCACGCAAAAGTATCGAATAAAAGTATTTTGAGATATTACAATAAAATCTGTTAAAAAAAATCCAAGAGGACTCTCTATACAATGGAATCGATGAGCTCTCTCCGTACTAGTATTTCGCATAATAACATTCACCGAATTCTATCGTCATCACATCATTTCTGTATGTATACATAAATTCTTTTTTCTCTTAAATTTCCTCTCTAAACAAAATATATAATGCACAGGTGTTTACGAGATCCTTTTTTTTTCTTTTTTTTTTTCTTCAGCCCAAAGCGCTCCTCTTGTCCCTCGGCCCCCATCCCGAGATGAAACGAAACGACGCTGTGCGCCCAGCATATGTTGGTATGCTGCGCTCACACCCCCGTTATCTCACTAAAATGCATCAGCATAGGTATCCCGCCACGATACACTTATCGCAGCTTAGTAATATATTACAAGAGTAAAATAGTAAACTTTTTAATTCAACGTTCCCCAACGCCACTGCATACTGCTACACTCACTCACGCGCTCAATCTACCTAATAATGAAAAATCGTTCGGTTTAGCCTCGGACGGCTTCGGTGCGCCCGTAGAGCGGCGCCCCCAACGTGATCGTCCTCGGCAGCGACTCTAGCACCCCTGTCTCTCGGAGGAAAGGCAGGCGGCCTTCCTGTACACTTTTCTCCCCACGCACATGCACTCACGCACACAGACACACAGTTCCTAACTTTTCAGAGCCAAACCGAAGCCCGTGGCGCGCTGCACGCGCGCGCTTTTTTTTTTTTTTCCTGGCCAGGGGAGCATCGTCGGCGACGAAGGTGGCGAGGTTCGAGCGGTACCCGCGCGAACGAGCCACCTCAGTTGTAGGGCCAGGAGTGCCTGATCGAGGTGACGACGTGCGTCGCGGGCGCCAACGGCTCGTCCGGGCGTCACTTCTTCATGTCGCCCATCATGCTCAGCTCCTTGCTCTTGACGTCGAGGTTCGACTGCTGGCTGCTCGTCACGCCGCTGCCGTTGCCCGGGTACATTTTTTCCAGGTGATTCAGCGACTCGCCAAGCAGTTTCTGTGGAACATAAATTTTAATTTTAGAAATAACATGTATATTTGAATAATATTGGGGATATCTTTATTAATGACTGTGATGAGTAATTGTAAGATTTTTCAACGATTGACAATTGGCGCGAAGGGGCATCGTTTATGCGGATTACTAAACTTTTGCATCAAGAACACGACTGCTACCATTTGCACTAAAGTAACAAGTTCATGATTTTGCTAATTGCTTTAAAATCACTCATATTCCCCCAATTGACATCAATTATTTTGTTTTCTTTATTTTTTACCTCTAAAGCATGAAATAATTTATTTTTTCAAGACCAATGTGTTGAAATCGCAATACTTCTCCGACATTCATTAATTTTTTTTTTATTGTACACAAATTTTGATAAGAACGTATTGTTGTTACAAATAGTAACTCAAGCCTATTAGCTTTTAATTTTTTCAATATTTACGACCAAAAATAGTTGTTTTCTATCACAAATTGGTTAAAGTACTTGTCAAATATTTAATAATTTGTTCATTTGCGATTCTGTGGTAAAATGTTTACTTTTCTAGAAAACAATTTTTGTTGATTATTTGTTCGTCTTTCACCAATGGGACTATCAGTAAGGTTTCCTGGGCCAATGCTCAATCAAATTGTTTGATCTTGTAGCCCTTATACTTTAAAATTCAGTTGTGACACATTATTCAATAAATCGATATTTTTATATTACCTTTTATCATTTTATTGTCAAGTTAGAACTCTACCGAGTTATTATGTTCCTCTTAAGCCCATTTACTATGGACCAAATTTTTTACCCCTGTTCTAGAAAAAAAATATTTAATGGTCCCCTTAACTGTTTACTCTAGTAAAACCACTTGATAACAGCCACGCCTGGAGCCCTGAGTACTACCAATATTAATAAAAAAGCAAAGCTGAGGTAAGTACAGATGAAAATAAAATTACTTTTTGCCGAGCAATACTTGGAACAGACGCGAACAGACACCACGGAGAAAAATTATTGTATAAATAGGTGAGTGAAATTTGGAATTTCGACTAGTGATGTTTGTCGGTTCGAGGCTGTCCCGTAATAAAGAGTTTTGCAATCGGTTATTAGCTCTCTCCTACACGGTAGTTCCGAACCTTGTACACACCAATGACTCTCGCGAGCGCGTACAAATTACGATTGCGAGAAAGAGAAGCGCGGATTGTAATTATCCACTCTTCTTTTTTTCACCAATACACAATTGCCACACTCCGCGAGCCATTTCTATTTTCGTTGAATTAACGAGGAAGAAAAAAAAAATTAAATTATAAATAACAGTTGTAGTAGTTATGGTAACCAGTACTAACATCCATAGCCGTGAGAGCAGCCACGATGGCTGGACTGCCGAAGCCGTGCGTTATGAGAGAAAAGTGCGTGAGGTGTCTCTGTATGCTCTGGTCGAGGATCTGGTCCGGCCGAGTGTTGCAAAGGGGCGACATGTCCGCACGCAAAAGTTCTATCAGCTCTTTGGTGATCTTCCTGAGGGTGAAAAATTCAGGGTGAGTATATCGTATAAACATATGTCAGGGAAAAAAAAAAAAAAACATTCATGTAGCACATATAGTGCCTCGACTCACTTGGTGGAGTGTATCTGTTCTTTCCTCCTGTAGGAGTCCTGTGGCTCGCTCTGCGGATGCCGGCACATGTACTCGGCGATCTGTTTGGCCGGGAACTCGGTCTCGCAGACGTAGCCAAAGTCTCGAGCGAGGTGGATAGCTTCTCCTGAGTAGAAAAAAAAAAAAAATTTGTTAGTAACTAAATAGACACTCAAGCGAATGGAGGGGAGGGGTGCAATGGACGCTCTTTCGTCGAGTGCAGCATCAAATGTCCCGAAATACGAGGAATTGTGGCGGGGCTTCTCCCGGGCGATCCCGTAATTTCGAGTCGCCACTTTCACTTCCGGCATAGCATCGGGCGACGCGCGAGCAATTAATCTCGGATAAAAGACTCGTGTTCTCGGGAGATGCGAATCGGTGGCTCTCTCTCTCTCTCTTCCTACGCGTATATACACGTCGAGGTTTCGAGCAGGTGGCTAGCGCGTCTCTCTTCGAGGTGTACGTACACTCGAGTACGATGAGCGATGGTTGCTCGAAAAATTGGGACGCGTGGCGCTTTTACGAAGCTCCGCCGCTTGTTCCCACGCGCTTCGTTTCGTGAATGGATCTCCGCGTAATTTGTTTGCTCGTGAAAAATAGTACACATCCATGGCGATGGGTACAAGGTCCGGGCTGTGTACCGTTGGCTTTTGTTTCTGCTGCTTTCGAAAGACTCGACTCGCGCGGATAATTCGGACGAATGGAGGACACTTTTAATTGCTTCGATCGATGACCTTTGGCTACGGATCTTTAAATAGACAAAATCAAAAGTACCTACACACCTGAAGTCTGTAGTTTGGAACTGTAAAAAAATTTCGTCATACTACCTCCGGATCGCTCGATTTTCGGCAATTGTATTACTGTGCCCATACACATTATTATAACCATCCAGAAACGGCTTTGAGAGCTTCACAGCTTCATCAAATTTTTATCCCCGGACAATAGACTGCTGCGTCGTCCCGCGTTTTTGTACGTGTGATAATACACACTTGGGTCATTCATAGCGTGAAGCCTGTACGTGAGGAAATCCACATAAAAAATCCCGTTTTTGTCCCCCATTCAAATGAAAATGAATTTGTTAGAGGCACACCCTTGAAACCGGGCTGGTTTTCTCATGAGAAAAAAAGTTTGATTACGGGTTTCAGTGAGGGTGACTTTTTTCTGCGATTCACGTGACATGGCAGTACGAGTAAAACGAGCCCTATCTTGAAGGTTTGCCTCAAAAAATTAGTTTTTATCAAAATGGGGGACAAAAACAAAATATTTTTTGTAGATTTCCTCGCGCCAGCAACTTTCACCTCTTCGCTGCGTCATCTTTCATCTCTCGCGTGCCCTACCGTTTCCGATGTCTTCCCTTCTTTTTCCCTTTCTCATGCTCAATGTATATATATACACGCACATGCAGGTACGGCGCACCGGAGCACGTATGTCCTGTACGACCGCGCTACTCGCTCAATTACCGCGATAAGTCAGCGTGAGAAAGCGCGAGTGCAGCGAAAAAAGGGACCACTCCGACAGGAAAAAGGAGGGGGGTTAAATGAATTCGCGTCCTTAAGAGCGCCGCTGTGATGCTCACGCGTATCTTTTTCACGTTTCCGCTCCCCTCTTTTGTTCGGCGCTCCCGTTATTTTTTAATAAACTAAGACTTTGAATTTCGCGCTGATTGGACCGCTCGTCGCCGAGCTGTGCACTGGTACAGGCGTTTCTTGAGATGTCCTGCGGCACAGAGTCAAACGAGCGCCCGGTCGTTCCAATTCTTCGTCTCGGGGGACCCTTAAGATTCCGAATTTTTCAAGCACAGGAAAACAAAGACATGGAATCGCTCTCGTTGTGCAGTTGGTTCATTTTCGCTTACGTTTTGTGTGTACACGAGGAGGTCAAGTGTTTGAAAGTACTAGAACCTCTCCCAATTATTATTACAGATACGTCGGTGTAAAAATACACATCGTTGTAAAATAAGAAGAAAAAAAAAGTATCGACACACTACGAGTCCTGTCCATTAATCAGCCCACCTTGATTCTCGTTTACGAGTAATACCGTTCGTCATTTCGAGCACAAACGCGGTTCCGGTGTATATTTTGTACAAGATGACGATGACGACGAAAATCGAATACTCGAAGACGAAATGAAAAAAAAAAAAAATTAACGTCGCAAAGTATACACTCCGAGATATTTTTAGAAACGAGGGTGTGGGTTGGATCGACTTTTCCTTCGCTAGAGACCGTTTTAAATTACAGGTAATAAAAACATCAATACTATACAGCCGATGCTCTCTATTGCGGCACGGTACAGATGTTAATGCCCGATCGTCCGACGTTGATGGAACCTCTACTTTTACGATCCACTATGTGATGTATCTGTTTCGAGAGATATACCTACAGTCATTCTTGGCGCGTACAAAAACATACGCCCATAGGTGACACTATTTTTGTGTTTTTATCGGTAATAGTGGTCGTGCCGAAAATCATATATTTTTGTCTGGCCGACAGAAGTGACGTTTACGGTAGCTAAAGACCAGTTAGTTAGAATCTCAGTGCTTGGATGATGAAAAACACTGATGCCCACTTGGGGTGACTTTGAGCACTAGTGTATATCTGTAACAGCTTCTTACGGACTCACATAACATCCGTGTCACAAAATAACATGCACAATCGGCGCACGCAGTGATTGCCACAGTCGAGCAAAAACCCCATTTTTCGCGCGATAAGAGCGCTATTTGTCAAGCCCAGCCCCCTCGAAAAAAAACAAAAGAAAAAAAAATCACGACACAAAAATGACGAGATATAACGAAAACAAAATCAGTCAATTATTCACGTGCGCATGAAACCCGAACCGTTAATCACCTCTTCCATCCACGAGTCCTCGGAGGAAAAAAAGGTCGGAGCGTTTTTATTTTTAGAAAGCCAAAAATAAAACTGATCAATCTCGAAATATGCAAAATCTGCCCCGGCCAATTAATTCCCCGTGTCAGATTATACAGAGAGAGGGCCAACGCGATGACCCACAAATACACACGGACGAAACATATACAGGTTCACGTGGGCGCTTCGAGAAGCAAGGAAAAACGATACCTACAATGTAACAGCACTGCCGACGAAACAAGCCCACATTTACGCGGTGTACAGGTCAGTCGCGCGCGTTGCGCAACCTACAAGTGAGACGAGCTCGCTCCGAGAGGGGGAGGAGAACCCGCTGCTCCCACGACCTTCGCACTCCGTGCAGCGCTTCGTACGTATGGTATACTTGCGAGGAGAGGAGAAAAGAATCTGTTGCATAAGAGTAGCGCGACGAGGGGTAACAAAGGGCGACGTCGCGTCAATCACTTCTTCGGGCAATCAGTCAGTCGGCTGTGACTCCCCCCCGCCGCATACCTCGCTCGCACTTGCACTCTTTGGCTCCCGAGCGCCCACCGCTCTCCTGCGTGTATGCATATGTGTATTTGCCGTCGGTTCGAGCGCGAAAGTGTGGGAACCGAGAGAACAAGAGCGCGAGAGGATGACGTGAAAAAACGAGCGACCCAGAGAGAAGAGAAGAAGAAGCAAGTCGAGGCGGGAGCCCTTACGCGGAAAAAATGCCTGGCTAACGATTACGCGGATGGGCAATTATCACGTGTCCAGGGAACGCGGATTGGATCGCTACTGTATATACCTGTATGCATCGCAGCGGGTTTTCTGTGCTGTAGCTGGCGATCATTGATTTTTATGGGGCACGGATATATATTATATCGACGCGGATCGTTTGCAGCTCCGATGTGTGCACGTATGCCTCTTTTGCCGTTCCGCGCCACCGTTAAGTGTAAATCGCGCGCGTGGCTGCGATTGATTCGCGGATGGGTATGAGTTCGGGAAGGTAATCAGCTCGTTCGATCGATTTTTTTTTTTTTTTTTTTTTCCGCCATGAGGGGAGTTGGTCCGAGTCGGATAATGTTGTCGATGGTGGCTGGATAGGAGAAACAACTTTCTCTAGCTCAGAGACATTCTTTTCTTTACGATTTCGTAGTAGCAGCTCTCTGGACGATGTGACAAGAAAAATATGCAATTTCGTGACGGTTGTAAACAAAAAAGTATACTTAAAAATAATTTTAAAAATATCCATCCCGAAGTCTGGACCAACATTACTATAGATCGAAGGGTAGGAGAAAAAAAATGTCTCTGAAGTAACTGCTCCCTCTATCCAAATTCGAATTAATTCATCTACAAGTGGGTGGAGGCAGTGAAACGTTGTTCGTGGGACTATTTGATGCCTTCGACGCATCCGCTTGACAACACCAAACGCGAAAACTTTCACCGGAGGGTTTTTCATGATTTACGAACTTTCCCGGGGGTATTTTCAATTCGCGGCTCGTCAACGCCGCGTCTAAATCAAAAGCACCCGACGACAAACCAACAAACGCCGAGCTATCAATTCGATCGCCGGGTAAATTAAAAACAAGCAAAGCCATCGCCGCGGCGCACACGCATAATTTATCGATGCGGTAAATCCTTGCCTCTCGCAATTACTAATTTCGCGCTTTTTTACTACAATACAACCCATCCACGGTCGAGGCAATGCCGCGGATCCACAAAGGAAATTTATACACTTCGGAGGGGGATTATTTCTCAAATCCCGAGGTAAACCCGCAGGGGGTACTAGTCCTACACACGGAAAAGCTGACGCACACTCTATAAAAGTGGCACGGGCTTTTAAAGCTTTTCAGTCACGTGTAATGACACAAGCTCCAATCGTAAGTATGGACGGGACTCGCGGTGTCAATCAATAATCACAAATATATCCCTCGGTGGCTTGGTTTTTTCATTTTCTCAGCAAAATCTTGTTTTAGCGGGTTTAATGGCACCGAGGATCTTCGTTTACTCGAACTTCCCGCGCTATCCGCCCATTAACAGCTGCGCGATAATCACCCGCGCTGGGGTACACGTGCACCTACATTTCGCTGAAACTACACGCGCGGTAACCGATGAAAGGACGCGCGTGTGCGCGCCAACGAGAATAAAGAAAGTCGACGTTCCACGAGGACTCGCGGCTCGTAAATTATAATCAGCGACGACGCGCTTGCTCCGAGTGCGCCACGGGAACGTTTTGCCGAGATGACTCGTGTAATGTGCGTTACCATGCACGCGCGCGTTCGTCACTGCCAACGTATCTCGGCTGGGTTTCGGAGGGGAGGTATTGTTTTTTGTCAAAGGACTTGCACGTTTAGTGGATACGATGGTCGGTGATCTTACCTTCAACCAGCGAGGTGAGTAGCGTGACGTTGGCGGCCTTCCTCCTGCCGGCGGGGAGATTCAGCCCGATTTTTTCGAGCTTCTCCCTGAGGAGGCGTCCCCCGTTTTTGGATTTCGCCCTGAAAACAACCAACGATGTCAGCTAACATGAAAACTCATACCTATACGAAAAATAATTAAAACATAAATTTGGATGTTTGTCGCAAAAATGAAAATAGATTCAAGGCGTAGATCGCCAATTTTTCCATGGGAATTTGCGTCCGTGAAGCAATTCTAATACGTTCTCCTACCCAGCACGTGTAGGCTGGGTGCCTACTTTTTCGTAACCAACGAATAATCATCGGTCAACTAGTTCCTCGTCTCAGTGACGAGGAAAAACCAAAAAAGTTTCGTCCCCACTCGGGACCCCCGCACGCTCGACGACCTTCGGAAACAAAATCTCCTGTCCAGCAAACGCGAGATTTCACAATATCGCGCGTAAATCACCAAAGCGAGCAAAGTCGAGCGCGGGTTTTTCCGAAACAGCCGTCGCGTAAATCTCCTACGCCTCCGAAGCTAAGACTCGCGTTGGAGACCCTTTACTAGAGTCCATTAAATTTGCAAAGAGAAAGGGTCCCATAAACAATCGCTTCGCTTTGTGCCTACACGTCGTGTGTCCATTACACATCGCATACATCCGCTTGGGTGACGTTATACGACCCTTAGGGGGGGAGAGAAAAATCCAAATCTGATGTTCGTACCCTTAAAAAAGGTACAGTATCCCACACGCGACACGTTCCAACCACGAAAGATGGAGTATCCAAGCGAGTGCGTGGTGCATCAGCTCTCACTTTGAAACGATTGCTGTAAATCCTACTCGGTCGCGGCCCGATCCGTAGGGACGCAGAAGGATAGGGATACAAATCGAGTAGGCGAGTGGAAACAAAGGGGTTTTTATCCATGGCCGTCCTCTTCAGCGCTCAGCTGTGACGGGAGGATGGGTCGTAACGGTGTCTCTGCGAGTGCCAACTATATACGAGTGGCCAAATAATTGGTTCGTTCGAAGTTTCAGCGGTCCCGCCTCACTTGGATCGACAAGTGTGTGATGTACAGTGGCACAGGTTGCGCGCCACTTTTTTATAATAGGGCTTCCTGGCAAAATTATCTCTTTTGAACGTGTCCGCGCGGACTCTTGATGGGTCGTGCGATTATACTTGGCTACCGATGATTATCCTCTGTAAAATTCACCGTGGTAATGACAGAATGAAGTTACACAGCGTGTGATAATCGGTTTCTCGTTTCTTGCAAAAAATTATACCTGCCGTTGCGAGCGTTTCTTAGCGCATTTTGACTTTGACATCAAAAGCCTCGCCTGGAGCGTTTTAGATATCAAACTCGCGTGGAACCCAAAAGAAAAGCAGTATCGCGACAGCCTTTTAATTACTCCGCTCGCGGTGGACTTGGCAGTCAGACCACATGGCCGACTGGTAACACTTTCTGGTTTTAAATTCAAAATAATATTCATGATGGGGTTCGACTCGGAAACTTCTCCGAAAAGCACCGTTGGTGAGGGGCGTCGAGGACAATCGGCGTCGTTAATCCCTTCGGTGTGCGCCGCGATCGCAGCCCTCGTTACTTTCTCTCCCCTACACGAGTGCCATCGCACTCATCAGGAGGGAGCGAAAATTTCACGCGGCAAAGGACGATCCGCGGAGTTGAACGTGACTGTCGAGACGCTGGTCCTCGTTAGGGTGCACCGCGTCCTTTCCTTGGCATCGAAGACGTTCAGGGAAAACGAGTCGTCGATCTCTTGATGGAGCTAGCGTGGGGGTGGGTGGGCGACTTGGAAGATGAATAACCGTGTTAACGAGAGTGGAGGTGGGCTAGGGTTCTCCGATTGTTTCGGGAATCCTTCGAGCTCCAACTGCGTATCCTAAAAGGCGAGGTGCCAAATTCTCGGACTCCCTCTTGTATTGGCTCCAAGACGAGTGTGCATCCGACGTGGCTCCTCCAGAGATGGAATCGTTAAATTAACAAGTTTTCCAACGTAATATTACCAGACGTTAATTTGCCCGGTTGTACATTTTTACTTTGGCTGCAACGAGAGTGGGTTATTGAAGATACAGGAACCCGCTACAGCCAAGGTGCTTATTTCCTATCGGGTAGAGAAACAATACGACTCGAGTCGTGCTGAAACGGAGAAGCTTCAGTTGGTTGGCATTGGCATTGATTCATTGAAAATAGCAGTACCACGTAAGTAAGTATAACTCTAGCCCAGAGTTTCTCACATATTGACACCAGCGATGAACTCAGACGATCAACCAGAGTATCGCAGCCATTGTTGTATTGCCCGTATTTTCGAACTGAATCTTATCGACAATCCTTTTTAATCCAGGCCAGCTACCTGTTAAATCGTATGTGCTTACCAGTCTTTGATCAGTCTCGCATTACCGAATTCAAGAACCTGCTTTGGAGATCGACACTTGATCGTGAAAGGGCAGCTCTTGTTTTCTCCGGGTGACACAACTGCTAAATAGTGATATTTGCCTATTTGTTAACTTGAATTTTCTCAATATTCTAAATTTCAAACAATAAATCTATAAAAGCGCTTTTGTGTGTTACACAGTATGTGCTTTTGTTTTATATATTTACTCGATTTTACTACACATTGCTTAAAATAATACTGTTATTACTTTTATCTATTATATATTACATTTATACGTTCAATTTTATGATCAGTTTTCAAAAATCTATATTTTTTCTTAGAATAACAAATTCAAACAATAAATCTATAAAAGCGCTTTTGTATGTTACACAGTATGTACTTTTGTTTTATATATTTACTCGATTTTATTACACATTGCTTAAAATAATACTGTTATTACTTTTATCTGTTATATATTACATTTATTCATTCAATACCATGTGAATTTACTTTGCTCTAACTTGTATATTTTCTGTAATTTTTTCATATTGTAACTATATTTTATAATTATGTTTACCAATACTGCTTATCATATATTGTAAATTACTATGTATCTTCAACAGTTACTTTGTGTGTATTCTTTGTACTGCTAATTGAGGGCCAGATATGGCATAGCCACAAGGCCTAAATAAAGAATCTAATCTAATCTAATCTAATCTAATCTATGACTTTATCACTATTGATTCGTAAGAAATGAAATTACATTTGTTGCTTTTAGCGTGGAAAATGTAGTTCGTGATTCTACTACTGGTGGCGCGGTACGAGTCAATACGTTATAGGTTGCAGCCGCGCGTACAATGTGTACGCGTACGTGTAAACGAAGAGAGCGACGTCCATTCATGCGCCGCGGCACCGCGGACAGGAAGCTAAGGAAAAAGAGAGGAGGAAACGACACGACAGAGAACATTCGGTTCATTCACGACGAGCACGGATATACATATACCTAAAGTATATATGCCTCTGCTACACGCGCTACTTGTCTTCCCATCTCTTCGTTGCTGCGGAACTACGTATTTATACGCGTGTATATTGTCGAGCAAGATGAGCTTTTTTAACTTTTCGTTTGTCGTCGATCGCGAGCGACAGTTTAATAGACACGCACCACGAGCATCCAGTTGACTATAAGTATACCTTTAGTGGAATATGTATGCGTGTACTTATTTCATTTGAAATCGCCGCTGCACACGCTTGTCCGACACCGCATGGATAATGCTACTGCTTTGCTCTTCTGTACGGGCTTGGATTATTAATTGTATATTCATACCAAATCAAAGTAATAAAGTGTTGCGGCATCCATATGTGCCGCCGTATAGCTTCTACTTGCCAGAGTGGCCAGAAAGTGGAAGGGAAATTATGATGAACGAAGAAGCCTTCTTTTTTTCAACAAACATGAAAAATGTCATTAGGGCCGATAATGTTAAGAAAAAAAGATATTAATTTCGTGCGCAACTCACCTCCGCAAAACGCCACCCAGTAGACTCGCGTTCAGACATTCCGGGGGTGACAGCCGTCTCTGGACCTCCGCGACCGTGACTTTGTACTTGCTGGTGCTGCTCAGGAGCGACAGTCTGCCCGGGACCGAGCAGAACACGTTGGCCGGCTGCGCGTTGCCCGCCAGCATCCCCTTGTCCCCTCGATCCGATGGCTTCATGTCTGCAACACACGAATTTTTCATTGAGTTTTCAATCTTTGGAAGACTATACAGCGCAGGTCCCGAAAAAAAGTGTACGCGTTAAAACTCGATGTATCTTCCTTGTGTGCGATACTGGGCTTTTTTTGAGTTTAAAAACATGTTTGTGTTTCGAGATCGAACGAAGAGATGAACGATGATCTTTTCGTGCTCAGCGGTACCAGTCAAACAAAATGACTACGTTTTTTCTAAGACATTTTATTATTCTTTCTCTTTCTTTGTATTTCGATTGCGCTGTGTAATTCACTTTTTTATGGCTGATAATATGCGCGGTTCTGAATTTTGAAATACACCGACACAACGGTCACTTTTAAAACTTAACCGTTAGTACAAGCCCGGTAGCAGGTCTTGTGATTTTACGATTTTTCGTATTAAACATTAACACTAACACACAGCTTATAGCCGATAAACTTAAAGATTCAGGGTCAAGGTTATCGTAGAGGTTTCACAACGGTACGGGGTCAAAGTAACACAAAAATGGAATCGACAAAACATGGTTTTCCAGTTGTTCTGAGCCTCTTATTTTTGACGCGTGGTTTTCATGTTCTCGGAAGAAAAAGCACGTGTGTTCGCTGCAACCTGCTCACCCAGTAAATGATGAATGTAAATCAGACTTTTTTTACTGCTAGCAACAATGATGAGTTTTATTGATGATTTTTTCATACTCGCTGCAAGTCCTACAGTAATACGGGATTTGAACAAAGTAGCTCCATCACGTGCCCCTTAAATCTTAAGAAAATACCTACCCAATCTCGTTACGAAAAATCCCCTCTAATCTCTGACAAACCTGTCGTTCCAATGTTCCCAAACACAACTCGCGATCATACTCGACTCCCATGGGCGAGTCAATTTTTTTTCGAGAATAGATAAACACATACCCACCTAGAAACCTATCCCCAAAGGTACAAACCAGCGCTCGCCATTAGAGCACGTCCGTTTATCCATTCTCATCGCATACGAAATCAAGACCAGCGTCCGTCCGGCACTTAGAAAAAAAACGTTAGAACCACGCGCGTACATTAACGACGACCTTGGAAAACTAGTTTCCGAAACGGATACCAAACAGAGACACGCATGCAAAGCCCGGGACGCCGAAAAGCTTGTTGTGGGATTACCCGCATATCGGGCCAAGGAGACGCCGTCGCGGAGGGAAAAAAACAAGCGAGCACCAGAGCCCAGCGGTGAAAGTTGACCCGAGCTTTTTTTTTGTCCATCGTTCGTTTATGACGAGGAAGCTCGTCCTCCTCTTCCCGAGCCACGCGTGAATGTTTACGACGTACTTTTGGTTATTTTTATCTGCCGGTCGATGCCGCTCGAAATCTTGTTGCTTGTAATGGGCATACGCAGGTGCGCGCGTTACTTTCTAAAATTCAGTATTAGCGGATGACATTCAAACGCCGGTACAAACGCTTCGGAACGTGTGTAGCTTCGGCAGACGAGTTTTTCAAAAGCCGCTAGATATATTGGGAGGACGAGGAGGTTTTCATTCCATTTCCCGTGTGGCGTTTTGTTTTTTAATTGAAAATAAGCGGCAAGTTGATTGTTGTCCAGTACGGGACTTCTTTTAGTGACTAATGGTTTTGGTTTTAAAAAATTAAGGGACTGTAAAAAAGTCTTATTGCAAGTTAAAAGAAATGCAATCACTACGATTTTAGTATAAATAAATGTTGCACGCGCGAAGTAAATGGTAAAAGAAAATTTAAAATGTGGACGATAACACTCTTGAATAATTGTGAAATTTCGATGCTCTTGTGCTACTTTTTTCTCCAATTAAATACTTTTGAATTCAAAGTTGACTATAGAAAATGAAATGTTGACAAAAATCGAAACGAATTTCAGGAATAATTTTATCTTCCTCTCGTAGATATTACATCTATAGCAAATAAAAATTGATCGACTCCGAAATAAGTGGTTAGAAAAGATAATCCTATCCATGATTGTTATGCTTTCGTACGAATAATTAATGTCGATTGTAAAAAAGTCCCGTCCTTTTGAAAAAATTGATGGATCACAAACATTTTGAAGCATATTTATTCAAGATTTGATTGGTCTAACCTGATCACGTGGTTCCAACTCAGTGAGAAAAAACGAATTATTTCAATGCATCGTAGTACTTGAAAAGTATGTACGAAAATAAGTATGTAAAAATTTTAATTTGACCAAAGGCATAAATATTATTCCTTGGCTGGACCTCGCATTTTTAGAAACAATGATTGCCTCAAGTACAGCCCGCACCAATGCAAATTCCGTGCTTTTCCCAGAATTTCACGTTGTACGAGCGAATTGAAATTCCAACTTTCTTCCTCGACCCAGACTCCCGGGACCGGCAAAAACACACCACTCGATGAATCCACCCTCCTCCCCCCATCTTACGCGGCACGTCTTACTCGCGCATAAATATTGCCCGTGAAATTTTCATCCCCGTAACAAGCACACACGCGTACACGGCGTTATTGCATCGACGAGAGGCATATCAGCGGCGAGCAGATAAATCTCTCCCCGCGCATCGGAATGCCCAATATAATATCGAATACGTAAGAAAAGGGGCCAAAAGACCAAACGCTCGTATTGGCCTCCGAGGCATGCGCGTGTATAAACACACGGTAGGGGGCCGGTCAAAACATCCGCGCGCCCCCCTTTCTTCTTCGCTGGATGCAAAAAGCCGGACGGGGATGGGGAGCGATCGCTTTGCGTCTTACATTTATGTACGCGCGCAACCCCCCTACTCCTATAGCGAGAGATTATTAGTTCGGCCCAGGGATACTCGTAGGTATATATATATANATTCTCTTGGCGTGAATTTACAGAATATATATATATATATATTTGTACGTACGAGGGGTCGGAGAGTAATTTTCATAGCATCGCGGATTCCCGAAGCGCCGACTCGAACTACTTTCCGAGGAAATTGTTGAGCGATTTCTTCGTGGATCCTAAACTAAACAGTATAAAGGCGGAGATCGGTTATGTAACGAAGGCGCGCGTCCCTTGGCTTAGGGGGTCGATCGATCCACCGGATAGAGAAATTTTGTGCGTTCGATTCTTACTGGTATTTTTTTGCTGAGTGGGTGTGCAGTATTATCAATTTTTTTCGATCGAGCAGGTGATTGTTCGATTCATCGTACGTGGAATTTCAAGTTCTGTATAGAATACCATTTCAAAAGGCGAAAGGCCATCCACGCTGGTTATTGATTTTTTTTCTCGCGAGCTGTATACGTCCCTTACGTATGCTCGAGCTAATAACAGCTAGCACATGCCTATGTATAGTATCTAATGTACGCACAGCAAAAGGTATAACGGCATTCAACGCGCGTCCACGGGCGATTACACGCGTGGTCCATCGAACGAGGCGATCGGACAGAGTCATCAGCCGATGCAAATGAGCCGCGACAATGAGCGATGCTCCTCGCGGATGAGCCCGCGGTCCCACGCTCCTTTGGCTCCCCTCGCTTTTCGCGAGGATTTATTTCCCCCTCCTCCTTTTCGAGTGTACGAACATGTTTATTAGAAAACGATTGTAACTCTCTTAATTTGAAGTGGTGAAAATTTCACCACTTGCACAAGTGAACAAGATTTTCACCGGCAAAAGAGTGAAACATTTGGATCGTTTGTTCGCACCCAATAGATGTAAATTTTTATTTCAAATATTTATTAGTAATCCAACGAATTATCGTTATCCAAATGAAGATAGTGTTGTTGTGTAACTTATACATATTTATCATTTTGAGTGGTACCAACATTATTTTTACCAACAAGTTTAAATAGCAAAAGAGTAACATGGCACGCAAATAGTGAAAATTCACTATTTCGCAGTAAAATACATTATACTTCACAGTAAATATTCACTAGTTGGAATAAATTATAAGTATACAACTTTGAAATAGTGGCTTCTCCCATTTCATTGTTCAAATAGTGTACGGTCACTATTTTACAGTTTACATGCATTATTTAAAAAAAGTTGTATCCTTATCGCCATTTCAAATTTAGAGAGGCACACACACACCACACGCGCGCAGCTCAAAGTTTCGGCTGTCCCTCTCGTTCCCGTATCGGCGACGGCTTTCCTACACGCACCGAAAATCAAAAACTCGCCAACTCTTACGTAAAATGATGTGCTTATACCAAGTACCTGTACCTGCATACGTAAAAAAATTCCATCGCGCGAGTGTTTCCAACTGTCGTTTGCTTTTATTTTAGAAAGTTCCCGTTGCCGTTTCCGCCATGGCCATCGTCGCGATAACAAATCGACCTCCGATGGTGTTATGATTGATGCGCCGATTGATAAGAAAAATCCCACGCGGAAGGTTCCGCGCGCGAAACAAATCGAGAAAATCCTCGATCCGATGTATACATATACAGCGAGACGTTCACCTCGTCCATTGCATCGCATAGCTCGACGACGGTGCGAAATTAATGACCCGCGCGGTGAGGACTGATGAATTCCAATTCGCAACAAAAGGAGGGCTGCGCTTGTGTACACTTATTCGCGCGATCTCCCCTTCATTAATAAATGCGAGCGATACGATCGGTACTTGCTGCGCAAAAAATCGGTCCGATAGGCATCGGTGGGTAATCGGTGCCGGGAACCGTCACGGGTGCGTCGTGTGGGTGGGCGAAAGGATCCTATCCGCGATTCGCGTCAAATAATACGGGCGGCTGGCAGATATAGCCGAGAAGTATATTAATACGCGTAGTTTGTCACGAGCTCTCTTGGGGCCGTGTGAGCTTGCGTACTTATCTGCTTGAGCTCAAACGATTACTTGGAGTAACAATTGTTGTTGCCCCTGAGATTTGGATTAGTAAAATTGACGTGCCTTTTTGACCTTTTTTATAAATTAAAGGTTAACTGGTGATTAAAATTTCCTCGTCATTACATGATCCGTCGTGAGTCGTAACGACCAACCGTCACCTCAGCTGTCATTAGCTAACACCCGTTAGTTAACATATTACGTATGTACCTACT